ACATTGTATAGTAACCCCCAGTAGTCACAGGTTCAGTGAATCTGGAAGCCCCACCCTGGCCCAGGCCCAGCGCACTGTGTTGCCTCCTGTTCTTGTCTCACTGCCCCACCCCGTCCTGTCCATGGACTGCAGCTGCCTGACTGTAGCTGCATCACAGACTGTCAGACACATCAAACATGTTCTCAGCTTCCTGCCATTGCTATTTCAGTGGTACCACCCACGCCAAGTACCGAAATACTGCGCGGCATCAAAGATCCAGTTGAAATCACTCCTCCAGAAGCCCTGAGACCCACACTGTAGAATCTAAGCACGTACACCCCACCCCGGGAACTGTTTTACTGTCACTGGACATTAGCCATGGTGTATACTACACCTTCTTCTTCTGTGAGCTCTCCCAGGACAGCGCTTAGGACTCCCCCAAGACTGGAAGCAAATTAGAGGTGGGGTGCGAACAGTGAGGCTTGGTTATCCATCGGCCATCTGTCCACAGCTCCGTGCTCACCTTCTTAGGGCAGAGCCACTGGGCCCTTACTCTCATGAGAACAGAAAGAAAACTTTTCAAAAAGCAGGAAAAAGCCAACGAGTGGGTTCCCAAGGACACCCTCAGTGGTGTCTAGGGCAGCCTACCTGAAGTCAAGGCAAGGAGGAAGGCTAACGCTAGCTGTGAACAAGGACTTCCTGCGAGTCCTGATTCCCTGTGCCTCAGTGCCCCCAGGAGGGCGTGGCCTCTCCTTGTTTGGAAATCTTTGCAGAAGGGGTGAAGAGTTGGACCTCCCAGGTAGTATGAGCGCGGTATGAATTTGTAGAGGGGGTGGGACTCCCAGAAAATCCATCCTGTCCCATGATTCTGAGGCTCCCTATGAGATTTGAGTCCACTATCATTCACTACTTGTGTAAGTCCCAAAGTTTCCAGAGTCACAGTGGCCAGAGCCAGAGTGGACCTTGGAGCTCATGGTCCTTGGAGCCATCGCACAGATGAAGGACTGAAATCCAGTCTAGAGACTGCCCCAAGACCCTTGTTCACAGACCCTACCTCCCTCTCGTACAGTTTCAAGTTCACCATGCATTCTAAATTCTGATTATCAACATATAAAGCAGCACTCAAAACTAAAAATGAGGGGTAGGCATTTGATGTAGCAGTTGAGACACCGCTTGGAATGCCCACATCCCATATCAGAGTCCCTGAGTTCAAGTTCCAGCTCCACTCCCCATTCCAGCTTCTACTAATCTATCCTCCAGGAGCCAGAGGTAATGATGGCTCGGGTAGTTGAATTCCTGCCACCTACATGACATACATAGATTGATTTCCTGGTTCCTGGTTTCAGCTTGGCCCGACTCTGGCTGTAGTGGGCACTTGAGGAATAAATCAGCAGATACAAGATCTCTGCCTATCTCTCCCTATCCCTCTGTCTGTTACGTTAAATAAATAAACCAAAAAATATAATGGAGAAATTCAAAAAATAAAATTAAGCACATATACCAAAGAAACCTGTCTCACAAGGACCACATTACTGTGCAATCATGGTGTTTCCTCCTTACCAACGATCTACCTCTCCCAGAGGTGTTCGAGAGGGAGAGGAAAGGGGTCCAAAGGTATGAACTACGTACAGTTCTTGCCTTCCAAGCTTATCTCTCTGTATACACAGGAAAAAGAATGCTACAAAACATAAAACACCTACAACCAGGGCAACAACAGAAGGCGTGCATGGAGGCCCTTCATGACGGGTGTCCTAAACACAAAGTGACTGATAGGGTGGAATACCGAGAGGCACAAGTCAAGGGAGTACTGGTTCATGCGCAGAGCACCTCCCTGCACATTGAACCCTGCCGACTTCTCACCCTGGTGACAACTGCCTCAACGCTCTGATCTTATCTCCCGCATAGAAGAATGATGGAGTAAGAAAGTTTCTTTTTGCTTCCTCACATGAAATTAACCATCTACCTGTAATGCCCACATTTGACACTGGTCCATCTGACTGTCTCACTCCCGAGCCATTCACCTGAATGTACCTTTTTGCCTCGGCATTTCTTCCGTGTGCTTTTACATGTGTGATACATGCATTGTCTTCAACAGGTACAGACCACACTGGGCACGTTCCGTCTGCAATTCTTGAAGGTTACTTTTCAGCATCCGGGCATCATCTGCAATTGTAATGCTGTCAGAGGCAGAAGAGAGATGGGCTAATTAATCATTGTCAATACTGGTCCCTATTTGCCAGATGAGTTTTCCTGAACAACGTGGCCGGGAATAATTTGTATCAGATTGTATTTCCTTGCTTTATGCCATTGAGAATATGCATTTAGCATCCTGAATATCCTGGAAACAACGGGGCAGAACTGAATAGCACAGATTCATTCATTCGCATTGGGCAAATTACATACTGAGGGCTGACTTCTGTGTGTGAATTGCACTGAACTCAGTCTCCACTCTGCCCTGCATCTGCCTAGGACCTTGCAAGCCACAGCCATGTAGGCAAAGGGACTGTTTTCCTGCCAGAGACCGCAACTGGGGCGCTCAGCATTATCTAATTCCTTGAAATTCCACTGGTCAGGTGGATTCCGAATGGGTAGGCAGAGCCCTGTGACTGCTCAGCCTGAGGCAGCAGGACTTTGCATCCAGGAGCTGATAAGGCCTAGTGACTAGCTGAGATCCACCCGCATGACATCAGAACGTGCCTAGAGGCACTAGTGGCCTGCGTGGGGAGGGACTCACTCCCTGCGGAAAGGACAGGATTCCAAACGCCCTGAAAACTGAGGGATCCTCAGAGCCAGATGGGTGCCCAGGCACAGCTGCTTCTCTCCTGCTCCCTTTCCTTGTTCCTGATTTCCTCTGTGTGTTCCAGCACTCTCACTCAAATAGGTCCCCGCACTTATGAGGGACTTCAAAAACTTGTGGCAAGTGGAATTAAACCATGGATTTATTTTGGTGCAAATAAATCCTGAGATCCATGTGGCTTTGTCATAACACGCATTTTCCACGAACCTTTAGAGGATGCCGTGTGCATCTGCGCTTGGACACCCGGCGAACGACTGACAACAGTCACCCTTCACTGAGCCACCTTTGTTTGTCCGGCATCTTGCCAGGTGCTCTCCGTAATGGCTTTATTTACTCCTCAGCAGAACCCCCAGCAGGTAGATGTTACCCGTGCTGTTTTAGGGGTAGGCAAACAGTGATCCAGGAGGGCGAAGTCACTGACCCCAGCTTACAAACCAGGCACGAGACAATGCCCTAGCTTCTCCTGGTCAAACACCCACCCTGGTTTCCTTTCCATCAGATGAGCTCGCTGGACCAGGCTTTCCTCTGTTCAAGGACCAGCTTAGCCTAGAAGACTTCCTGACTCCTGGTTCCATGTGAAGTCTCTCTGAAAACTGGTCCATGTCCTGTGATGCTTAGCACTTGTGTGGGGGACTGAACTGAGAGAAGTGGGGCTTAAGGAAAAGGGATGAAGCGCAATCCATGATGGCAACTAATAATGTATTTTCAAACAACTTTTGACAAAGGACTTCAGTGGATTTTGTAATTTCAGCAAAATCTACACCTCAATCCGTACACTACTCCCATGTGTATACCCAAGTCAGTGCAACAATGTGCTTATGCACTGCGCTGTTTGCTGGCCGAGGCCCAGCTCAGGGGGGCTTTCCAAGGCCATCAGGGAAAGAGAGGGCAACTGAGCCCAGCACTGTCAGGGTTCCTCTTTGGAGATGGCAACAGTCCGTGCAAAGGCCTCCAAACACTCACATTTCCCCCTGCACCCAAGTTATCAGGTCCATTTTCACTCCAATGTGTAAAAGTTATGTTGTCCATTGACGCTGCCTATGGGACACTGTCTCGCCGGCATCCGACAGAGAAAGCCTGGACCATGCTTGTGTGTGAAAGCCGGCCATCTCCTTTGCTGACTCTGTCCCCAAGCATTCTTAGCCATTCTTACTCCAGCGACTATGTATGGGAGTGGGCCCATTTCCTCAAATACTAACAGCAGCTGACCGTGGAAAGTCAGTCCACAGCAAATAATTCAAATAAGATGCTCAAAGAAGCAGGGTCTCAGGGCAATCACAGGTATGTCCGGTGTTGAGTTGAGACCTCTCTAACGCCCACTTTTCACAGCTAATACGCCATGGACGCAGAGTGACTGATGGCTGAAGTGACTTCAGCTGCCCAGAGCAGGTGCAGAGCTGAGACAGGGACCCCAGAATCAGGAGAGGTGTGAAGGCCAAGGCGGGAGCCAGGGAACAAAACAGATGCCATTGTCCTCAGCCAAGAAGTGAGTGTCACTGAAACATCTCCCCCACGCCTGGCGGCACAGGGCCGGGCAGAGGAAGTGCAGCTGCCCACATTCCGGGGGAATGGGTGGTACCTCGCAGGGAGGGAGGAAGGCTCCAGGAGGCCTAGGAGGGACAAGCTGTGTCCAGCCCTCGACTCTGTCCCGGAGGACACAGGTCTAGGGCACAGCCTCCTGCTCAGCTTCCCAAGAAGGCAGTGCCCAAGGGGTGGGCGCAGGGAGGCTATGGGTTTCCCCAAGACCTGGGCACCCGGACCCAAGCAGTGACCAGGCCTGGGCAGCATCGCCCACCCCTAGGGAAGGTGCTGGTCCTGTGTCACCCCTCCGTAACACCCTCAACGTGCAGAGCCCCCCGGGGCAGAGGATCCGTGACCACGGGCACTCATCCCGAGAGGGAACCCAGGCAAACCTAAAGCTCTCCAACATGGCGGGTCAGCCGACGAGTGTCTCAGCCAAGCCCTTAGCACAGGCTCTCTCCAAAGGTGCCCCAGTCAGAGCCCGGAGAGGAGCAGGTGGTCCTGGGCTCGACCTGAGACCCCGGCGGGAATGGCCAGGCCTAGAAGGCTGGGTGGGTGGGAGCCCCCTGCCCGGCCCTTCCTCAGCGCTCAGCGCCCCGATGGCCTGGCTGGAAAAGCAAACAGGCCTGGAGGCGCGCCCTTTGCACCTTTTGCAACTCGGCGGAGGCCGAGCCTCCTATAAAGACCGCGCGGGCGCGGGCCGCGCATTCCCACCCGGGCCTGCACCGGTGCGTCCCGGCGGAGCAGGAGCGAGCCCGGCAGCGGCGCGAGGAGGCCCAGCGCAGCCAGGGAGCCGCGCCCGCCGTCAGCCATGGGCGCGCCCAGGCCCGCGCTGCCGCTGCTGCTGCTGGCGGTGCTGCTGGCGGCCGCCTGCGCCCGGGCCCGTGAGTGCACGAGGGGCGCTGGGCCTGGGGCGGTTGGGTAGGGGGTGGGGGTA